ACAAAGCCAGGTAGGAGTTGGACGGAACTCAGTGGAGCTCTAGCAGTCGGCTCTGCTTTTTCACAAGGATATAGGTTAGCAGTCCTGACACTACTTTGTATATATAATAAAATTTAACAAGTAAGTTGACATGGAAAATGAGAACTTCTCCATTGGAGAAGGGAGCTATAAACAAGGAAGAGAGATCTAAAATGTACTCTCCAGTTCTGGTTTGGAATTAGAGGTGTTTGCATAGCCTCATGGTCACAAACACACACAGTTACATACTGACATGCAGATGCGTGTGTGTGCGGGTTAGTATATATGCATAGATTTCCTGCCTGTTCATGGAGAGGGTCTAGAAGTAGTAACACCCCAGGAATAATGAGCAGAGCTAGTGCCTAGGTCTTAGTCTCTGAAACCATTCTCTGGTACAAGGAATCATGGCTTCTAGGAAAAGTGGTTGATTATAGGGTTGGGGCAGGAAAAGTAGAGTATGAGCCTGAAGCATCTCATGGTTCCGAAAAATAAGGATTCGAAAGAGCTTCTAATGGCCAAAGCTGGGACAATTTGAGCAGCAAAATAATGTCATGTTGGATTTGAATCCATAGAATAAAATAAATACCCATGAGTGTATTAGTTTTTTGCTTTTGTGACATTACCACAAACTCAGCAGCTTAAAACAATACCTACTTATCCCATAGTTTCCATGGCCAGGAGCCTAGGCACAGCTTAGCCGGGCCCTCTGCTCAGGGCCTAGGAGGCTGCGAAGTGTTGGATGCTGTCTGTTCGCACTTGGAGGCTCAGCTGGGGAAGAATCTGCTTCCAGCCTCTTTCAGGTCACTGGTGAAATTCATTCCTGGGATTGTAGAAACCAGGCCCTTGGATTCTGGAAGCCACCTATTCTTGCCGTGTGGCTCAGGTCACATCACAGAAGCCTCCTTCTTCAAGGTCATCAGGAGCATATCAGAGAAGGCCAAGGTCCTCTTGTAACGTCAGGCCTACCCAGGGTCGCCTCCCTCTTGATTATTTTCAAAGTCAACCGATTCAGGACTTGACACCTGCAAAATCTCTTTAACTTGGCCGTATAACAATTTTAGACATGTAACAGTGTTTTAGTGGAACAAAGACATTAAGTGGAAAATTGGTGAAATTCAAATAAGATTAAGGAGAAATAACAGCTAAATGCAATATTTCATCATTTTTGTTATTTATTTAGTTAGAAGCCAAAGGTTCTGCCCTCTGTAAGGAGGTGGGGATTACACAGGAGTGTGCCTCACTGATAGTCATTCTATAGCGTGTCTGTCACAGCGAGTTCATACAGATGGAAATAGTCTAACATAAACAATAGCAAAGGAGGAAGAGGAGCTGGCTTTGCCTCTCAACAGCCTGGAAGGAAAGACTCGCCTGGCAGACACTGCTCTAATGAATGTTGCAGACAAGACTCTCTAATGGATGCAGAAGTTGGTGGGTGCACGTTGGAGGGGACACAGGATCAGCACAGTCTCAAATATCTGCCTAAGATATTGCCACCTACAAAGGACAAAGTAGTGACTGTGTTGGGGGAACTTGAACCCTTAGGGTAAACTGAGGATGAGAAGGACGTGACATTTTTGTGGTACACTTCGCAAAACGCGTAACCACATTTAAATCATGGAAAACTAGCGGACAGAACCAAACTGGGGAGCCTTCTACCAACTACCTGGTCAGGATCCCTCTTCAAGAGTCAAGGTCATAGAATAAAGGAAAGACGGGCCTTGGGTGACTGGAGGAGACTAAGAAACAACAACTAAGTGCAATGTGAGGTCCTGGAGTGGAGAAAAGACATTAAGTGGGAAATTGGTGAAATTCAAATAAGGACTTTAGTTAACAATGTCATACCGTTAAGTTCGTCGTGATAATGTAATTATGGTTACACACGATAAGGACACTGGAGGCCATGGGCTAAGGGATATAAGAGAACTCCCTGTCCTGTTTTTATAAGTTTTCTCTAAGTCTAAAACTAAGTTTTTTTAAATAAAAATTCATAGTATAGACTTGTTTTGAGAGTCAAAAGTAAAACATGAAAGTCAGCAAAAAGTACAAATCCAAGTGACTTACTGATGTTTCATTTTCAGTTTGTGCAAAACCTTGCACACTGCTGTATATGCATGGCCATTGGAGAACAGGAAAATCAGTTTTTCTAAAAAATCAAAGTACAGGCCTGTGCTGAGAGTCAACAGTAGAAAGTAAGTGGTCATTGGAGAACGAATACGTAGGTGTAAAGTGGTGAAATTTGCTCCAACACACAGCATGGGTTTCTCCCGTTGTGGTTTTTCCCGTTGTGCTTAACATCTTTACAGACATAGACTCGGGAAGCATGGGCTTTCTTTAACTGTTTCGGTATTAGAGCCTCCTCATAAAGTTGGTTTGTTCGCTGTGCGTGGCAATATTCCCTTTTAAAATAATTACCAAACTTTGTTACTTATGCCAAACATATGTCATATAAAAACCCACGGTTTCGGAAGTGTTTGCTTGATTCGGTTGGTGCAAAGGGCCCTGAGTCGTCTCCTTCACATGGAAGGTGGACACAAATGAATCTTCAGTATCGTGTTTCTCTGACTCATCAACCGCTCTGACTGGCCTGTATCTACGCTTATGGAAAATGAAGTGATTTCTTAGGAACTATGGAACTTTCATGGAAAGATGGGGGTAAAAGCAAATGGGGACTTTGAAACAGTTTGGGCCAATGTGTCTTTACCACGAATGGTTCTTGTTTGTTTCTTTAAAGAAGGGATTTAGTAAATGAGTTTTCTCATGGCTCTGAAGAGATGCCTATCTTAGAACTGTCCAGCAACCAGTAGCACCATGTGGATATGGCAGGATTTGGTGGAGTCATGACCTGGGTTTCTAACAGCCTTTCTCATTTCGGTTGAATTGTCTGTAAGAGCAGTGCCTTGGGCGTGCACAGCGTAAGGGGCGGTGTCCTCTGTTAACGTAGAATCCCTGTTTGTTTTCACTGTCCTGAGTCTCTGCACCCAGCCTGTTGCGCAGAAACAGTTATTACAATGTGAGCACTTACCGTCCCAGTGCAGCCGTTTTACGTCAGGCTTTGGCTGCAGAGTGCTTTCCGTTTCTAAATGGACTCTAGATTGGGGCCTTGGGGCATTTCATAGGGAGCACATGACCCGGAGCAGACACATGGCAACTTCTGTGTGTCTATAGCCAAGTTGGTCACCAGAGATTACCCTTGAAATTGTTTCATCCAGAATGTGAAGTGTTTTTACTTTACCTTTAATTAGTTGGTATTAATGCTAATTTACTACACATGCCTAACAGTAAGTGGATGGTCCAGCTCTGCACTTTGTCTAGGTCGCTCATACTTCTAGTTTGGCTCTGACTTAGGAGGGGTAACTCGCGGTGGTCCCAGCAGCGTTTCTCAGTGGCTGTAAATTCAGGTCTCGGTTTTCGCTTTAGCTGAGGACAAGAGGGGCAGCTGAACCCAGAAGCGCTGAGAACTACGTTCCTAAGTTGTACATTCTTTTCTGAAAGTAAGAAGCCTAAACTCCTAAACACAATTTGAGAATTTATGGTTATATTTTAACAATTGTTTCTAGCTATTATCTAAATGGAAGATCATTTCCCTGCCTCTCTGGCTGTCACAGATACAACTGTTACTAGAATTAGTGATCCTCAGAGACTCTGGGACCCTGGTCTGGACTGCCTGGTGCGGTGATGCAGACACGGCAGGGTTGTGGCTCCCTGTGAACCCAGGCTCTGCGCCCTGACCTTCACCAGGGTCACTGGTGGTGATCTCAGTATGTTCATTTCCTTCTCTGCTCACCTGTGTTCCTTTTCAGCACTGTCCACAGCTGTGGAGGGGACGGTTCTGTGGTGTCAAAGCCGCTGTGAGCTTGATCTGGCAAGATCACGACTCCGTACCAGCGAGATGCATACATATGTCTATTTCTGTCTTTCCCGTTTATTTTAGCAGAGGGGAGGAGGTTAGAAGATAAAGCAGCGTGGGCCTCATGCCACACGAGCTCATGCCTTGAGACTGTGCTAAGCTCAACTGCCTTTTCCATTCTACATTTTTAGCCTTAGAAATGCATCCAAACCCAAACCTCTGAGCCAGAAAGTGAGTTGAGATCGTCAAGTACCTCTGATGAGTCTTAAATTTCAAAATCCTGTCTCCTGCCTTCACATGACTCATTGTCTCTTCTTAATTAATAAAATAATTAGTATTTTTTTCTTTAATTCATATTCTTAGATTAAGGGCCATTAAGTAACAGATTTATTAAATATTTGTTATGCTAATGGAGGGATTAAAGGAGTAAAAGACATGAGTCCTCTGTTGAGGAGCTTTATTATAGTTTGAAAAGACAAACATCACACGTTAATTAAATGGAAATCAAGTAGGTGCTGAATAGATGCTGTTGCTTTATTAGCCATGAAGATCAAGAGAGATGCAGAATCGAATTCCCTTCTCTAGTGAGAAGGAAATACAGCATATTTCGTAGTCCTATGTATTATGTTTTTAATGGAGATCTTCTTGTAAGTTTATGTTAAGTCTCTTATTAATCATAAAGGTTTTTAAGACAGTGGTTACTATTACTACACTGAATAAATACTAACAATGACAAGTTGTGGGCCACTATCATGCCTGCCCACTAACAGACTAGTTTAGACTCGGGGGTGAGTTCAGTTCAGCAGGCTTGGATTGTGTTAAGTGCAGTGAAGAAGCGTGTGCCAGGAGGTTGCAGCCACTAATTGATTTGTCTGTGAGTTTGGGAACTCATCCAGTAAAAATTGAACTTTTCTAGAGGTCATTTGCTAAATATGTTTATGCATGTTTCCTCTTTGTTTTACACACAGGAGGGGTGAAATACCATGCTTTTTGAGCTCTGTCTTTTTCCATGTGGGGGGGGCATGCCTTTTGTGATCATAAAGATGAAATAAATATGTAACTGTGTGTTGGTTTTGCACAATTGCAGCATTAATGCAAAGGGTCCTCATCCTCCTTCCCCTCCTGTGTTTTACAGGCAGTCAGATGCCCCCTCAGCCACCCGGGAGCCAGGCAGAGTCGAGTTCCCATCCTGCCCTGAGCCAGTCACCAATGCCACAGGAGAGAGGTTGGTCTTCAAGTTCATATCTTCCATACCTTTGCCTTTTGAGTACATTCGGCTTCTGTGAATTTACTTACCTGTTTATATCCTTGTAAATAATTTTAAAGGGCATTGTTTCCTCATCAGATGAACGAAATAAGTGAGAACCTACATGTAACAACAAATACAGATAAAAAAGGATGCTTTCTTGCAGATGGGGTGGAATTTTACCAAAGCACAGTTCAAGATTCAAAGCGTATGTGTGTGTGTCTAGTAGCAGCATGAAGCAGTTTATCCAGGACTGTAGTCTGACATTTGAGCTAGCTGTGTAACAATGACTGTTAGCTATTCAGTTCGGCAGTGGTTCTAATGAGTAAAATGTTAGTGTGTGTGTGTGTTTATCTGATTTGATCAGTTATTGGTTCCATGATATTTAATACTAAAACTTTAAACACATAGTAAGACCTTGTATTATAAAATTACCAGATCTTAGAGCTGGAGTCACCCTGAAAGATCATGGAGTCCACTCACCTCAATTTATAGGTAAAGGAAGTGAGGGCCTTAGAGGATCTTCCTATGACATCCTCTTTTTGAGAGGCTGGTTAGTGCCAGAGCCAGAAAAAGAACTTTCCTGAAGCACTTGAACATTCAGGTTGTCTCGTAGGCAACCCCCTTGACCATTAGCTCAGTTCTGCGTGTTGACCTCCATATAGTACTCCCTTTGGCCTTCATTTGTTGACCTCTGTCTGTTTTTCTTCCCTCAGTAGTGAAACTACTTTTGGTGGTGGTGGTGCATTGATTTTATCCAGATTAGTGGAGACGGGGGTTCCCAAGCCTACAGCACGTCTGATGCTGGGCCCAGTCACTCCCGCTGCCTGTGAGTCAGGCTTGCCCCTCCCGCCCCACAGAAGGTCCCGCCTTCCTTCAGGCCCCTTCCTTTCTCACACTCGCCCACAGGACAGACGGCAGGAGCTAATATTTAAAGGTTCCTGACCCCTAATGTTTACACTTATTTCCATATGAGTTATACAGGTGATGATTTGCTACTAATTAGATTATAAGGTTCAGTTATTTTACATTTAGAAACTCAGTAGCATGTTGCTTAGAAAGTAATGCCAGTGAAAAGATGGGTTAGCCTTATCTACACATCACTTGTGTTGAAATGACTGGTAGGAATAAAGTGAAATTTTCATTTTCTAATGCCTTTGCATATTTAAGTTTTTTATTATCATTTAGTGTATAGTTAATACTTTCATTTCCTTATCAAGGTACTGCAGTATGTTTTAATAATGGAGTAGTGATGGTTTCCATGCTTTGGGGTGCACAGGAATCTCCTGGAGAACAGGTTCCTGGTTCAGTGGGTCTGAGGTGGGACACTCGACCCGTGTTCCTGACAGGTTCCAGGTGTTGCTGCTGCTGCTGCTCCGGGGACTGTGCTTTGGGAACCGCTGCTCTCTAACGATACTGTCATATATTTTCGTAATTGTGCGATGTGTGCATTTGTTGCTTGAAACTTCCCGCTGGGGCTTCCTATAAATCATGCTCGCATCTCACATCCTCTCTATTATTGTTTGTTGTGTGTTAATACCAAATCCGTCACTACTCGCCTGGAAGACGTTACAGACGTTCAGGGAAAGCGCACCAAGGCCAAGCGGGGCGTGCTCTCCCCACGCTCATTTCTTGGCCACGGGCTGCACCTACTCTGTTCCCAGGGCGGGGAGGAGAGAAAAGCATCCTGCACTGAGCCTGCTCAGGCCAGACCCAAGCTGGGACGGAGACATTCGTTATTTCACTTAACCCTGCTGTAGCCCTGCCGCATCATTCCCACGAGGAGAACCCTTTTTTGTGTATTAAAGGGCAAGCGGCACCTTATTTGAAAGTACTAAATTCTAACCTTTGTCTCTAAGATCTAAGGAGAAACCCCTCCAAGATCCTTCAACAGTGCCTTCCACAACCCTTTCCAACTGAGAGGTGTTTAAGAAATTTGAAAATGTACAAAACCAAATGTCATGGGCGACACAAAAGTGAGGAAATGTAGTTAAATTAAACTTTTAACTCAGATGAATATATTAGCAATGCAGAAGAGTTTCCCTCTGATGTCACTGTGTGGAAACTTCTAGGTTGATGTGTCTATTATTTCTTTTCTTCTGATTATTATGTATAGTGTAGTTTTGGTAACTGATAATGGAGACATAACAATCTGAGTCGTTACAATAACCATTTCCTTCAAATAGCAAATAGAAATCTTATAATTTGCTAAATCTAAATTTATTTTCATGAACATGTTCCCCAGACTTTCTCTGAAAGACGGTGCTGGGGACATTATGTGCATCTCTTGTGTGCCTTGCATTGGTAGAAATCCCCCGAAGGGGAAAACTTCCTATTTCAGAATGACTATTGGATGATGTTTTGCCATGTAGGAGTTAAATTTCCTTAAAAACTGGGTAGCAGGCTATATGCCTGAAACTAATGCAGAATGCTGTTGAATGTAGACTGTAATTGGGAGGGGCAGAAGCTGCCAAACAACAGGGTTATAGCATTTCCATGTATATTTTTACAGTGAAAAAAATGTTGAATAGCAAGAATTTTTTTAAATTGCTTTGTTATTTGTTAGAATCTAGGAAGAAATGTTAGCTCCTAATGACATTTGATCAGGTATTTTAATGGCAAATGACACAGTCATTTTAATGCTTTGATACAATAATGCAAACACTTTCTTGCTTATTTACCATCATGTGTACCAGCAGTGTGCACAGTGCAAAGTCAGTCTCAGAAAGCACTTGTTAGAAAATCCCCCAGTGCTGACTCTCATGTTTTGGGATGTAATTTAACTTAATTAATACCTTTACAATTATATATCCACCCCACCTCCCCGTTTAAGAAAATGATGAAAGAAGCAGAGAGGAAGAAACATATTGGTGAGTTAACACGTTATGAAAAAAAATGTATTGCTCCTCAGACCCCGGAGATCTTGACAAACAAGATGAGAACATACCTTTGGTGCTGCTGAGCTCTAAAATAACCAAACTGAACAGTTCTTTTTATACTCACTTTGTTTTAATAATAAGATTGAGTAAGATTCCACAATTATATACATTTTTTTTTAATGGCAGAGAATCTAGAAACTCGCTTGTCCACAAACACTTGCACAGAGCAAGAGATGCAGCCTGCGCTTGGAGGAGCGGTTTCCTGGTCCTCCCCAAAGTCCCCTTGGGGGACAGCAGTGCTGACGTGCTACCCCGAGCCTCAGTTCCTCCTGGCTCAAGGAGCTGTGTTGTCATTTCTTCCCACTTGTCCTTGTGTCCCCACTCAGGAAGAACGTATATTTATTAAATATATCTTTGTTGATTTCACAGAGAAGAAGGGAGAGGGAGAGAGAAACATCAGTGATGACAAAGTCCTCATTGATCGGCTGCCTCCTGCATGCCCCCGACTGGGATTCAAAATGCCACCTCCTGGATCCCAGGTCGATGCTCAACCACCAAGCCACGCCCGGCTGGGCAGGAAGAACATTTATTTTAAAATTATGTACTCTGTTTAGGAGAATTTTGCCCACCTGAGTCCGCCCCAGGATCTGGACCACACTGGCCACTGCAAGGCCATAACCTCTTTCAAGGCTGAGAGCAGAGGCAGTGCGCCGGCCCGGTCCCCAGGGCAGGGCTCTCATGCCGTCAGCCCCCAGCCCCACTCCCCACCCTGTCTCCAGTTCAGTGACCTCCTCATGCAGTGGATCTGGTGTTGAGTTTGTCAAAGGACATGAGTCACAAATCCATTTCCCCACATTATATATAGGTGAAAATAGCTGAGTTCCTGTAGTTTTATATTTTCCATCTATAAAAGTATATGTGCAAGTAAATATGGATGTGGCCATCATGGGTGACAAAGAGCAGGGAAGCGCTTTGGGTATTTATTGCCTCTTTCTGTAGTATTGTCTTCTCTATACTGTTATCTACTTTCCAACGTAAAGCTTGGTTTGCACTCTCCTGTCTGCATTTTATGTGATTCTGGAACTGCCTACTAACTGAACAAAGAAAATTAGCTCAAATTCTTTAGGGAAAAAGGACAGGACTTTGGTTCAGGATCCTGTGACACATTTACCATTGGTTTCTATTTTAAAACAAACCTTTCTAGACCTCATAGAATGACATAAAGAATTGCTGTTGTAGCATCTCACCGAAGAAACCGAGTATAAATCATGCCACCTAAGTGTTGCATAACCCTAACCCTGAGTAAATGTTACAAGAACGTTGTGGCTAACAGGTTTAGATTAGTTCTGTCCTTATTTCTTAATCTAACACATATTTCTTAAAAAGTGAAAAGAGCAGTAGGAAACGGCTTGTGGCTGTGTTGTTCTGTTTTCCAAGAGGTTTTGGAGGGAATATGGACGAGTCATTGGAGTAGATAAATAAGTATAATTATTATTAACATCAAAATGATCACATTTTTAACCCCTGTAAAGTGCTAAGCTTAATGAAACTAGCGAATGCCCTTCTAGTGTATTGGATTAGCAATTAGGTGAAACCATTTCAAGAAGGCTTATTTACTTGGACAGATGTAGAGAGGTCAGAATTAATTTTTTGAAAACCTTTTAATTGAATTCCCTTTTAATTTTCACAGTGGTGTCTAGTTAAATATGCATGTTGGTGCTGGTGGTTTCCTGAAGCTCTGAACTAGATCTGGTTCTCAAAACCAACATGGTTATTTAACCCTTTTCGTCTGGGCGCCAGCAGGGACTTCCTCAGTGTAATCCCATAGTATTTGAATAATTAGAAGGTAGTAATGAGGATTTAATTAGTCCTTGAGATATGCTGGAAGCAGAGCCACTAAGAACTTTCCCTTTTGGACACGACCGCAAGCAGAACGGCGCCGCTGCAGGGCTGCGATGAGCTGGAGATGTGTTCTGTGGCTGGAGGCGGTTCTTGGGCACCGCGCTGTGACCGTGGAGTCTGCACGGCGTGTCCTGAGTGAGATCTCCCAGAATTAATGAAAGCACCCGGTCGACCTCCATTCCTGTCCACCTCCGTGAC